ACCACGTGACCGTGAAATACAACTTGACAAAAACAAAACCGGTTCCAATAACTTCTCCAACCTGACTTTAAATAATCTAAAAATTTGATTGACAACCATTTAGTTGTTGTCAAGACAATACCGGAGACTTCGTTGTCTCTCTACAAAAGATCTATCAGTCGCCCCAAAAGGTTACCAAGACTTACATGAACTTTCATAACACAACAATGAATTTTTGTTTCAAATATCCACATGTCTTCCAGATGGGATGGATATCCTGATAGACTTAGAGACTTTACATGAATCAGTAAAGATTAACATAACTAATGTCGCAAATACCGTTTTCTTCCAACGCTGAAAAGACAACCAGAACCGAATTCTGGAGGAACCTTTTTCTATTGTACAAAACAAAGAAGTTGCGACACCTACATAAGTCAGAAAAGTTTACATATGATTTTGAGTACACTTTTTTAACGAAGAGTGACAAGAGTCCAGTTTATAATTACGCTTAATTTTACGCTAATTAACGCTAAAATTAATTAATAGTTTCGGACATTAATTAATCTAACTTAATAAATTAGCTTCAGGGCCGGGATATCAAATATATATAATATATTATAAAAAAACAAAAACAGTAATGTTCCATGGCTCTCATATGAGTTCCAAAGAAGAAAGAAACACGAATATCAGGCCTTTGGTCAAATACCAAGGTCCTTCTTCTTATACCTGTCACCCACTCCGACATTATCTGTAATCAAAATACATATAACAATTAAGTGACCCAAATTCCAAGCGATGTGAAGATCTTAACAAAAACAACCCCTTATGATTTTATAACCGCATAAACGGCGAACGAGTATCTTACCTTCTAAAGAACGTCTGTCGTGCTTAAACTAAGCTAACAATTCTATACACAAAAATAAAATTTCGAAATAAATGTTATGCTCTATTAAGTCTTACGAAAAGGATGGTACAGGTAGATAGTAACAGCTACGATATATATCTTCTCAATTCCCAAGATTAGCAACTACTAAACAGTACGAGATTTTGTTTAATGCGAGGTACCTTATGGTTCTCTAGTATCAAAAACTATTGTTATGTGTCTACAGATCAACGACCATACTAAAACGAAGTATTATTAAAACCAAAGGGTTGTGAGTCTCTCCAAGGAGTTATAAAGATTAAAGGGGAGGCAGCCTGAGGGCCAGAGGCCAATCACTGGGCCTTACTTAAAGTCGTGCAGTAAGAACTTCCTGTAGAGTAAAAGAGAATTGACGGACGACGAAGGGGAGTAGAAGAAGCAAAGGGGAGGGAGTCAAGGAGGCGAGCCGTAGAGGACACCCGCCCTGATTGCCAATGCAGGTGTGTCGGCTCGAAAACTTTTTTAGAACTTTTAGAACCCTGCACAGACTCTCGAACCCCTAAAAAAAGCGCTCGTTGCGTTGGTTTTGGTGAGTGCGTACTAGAGGAGGGGGCTGTAAGTTGCGTTTTTTAGGCCTAAAATACGCGCGCGTTGATATGTAATATGACATATAATTTGAGGGGTCTTGTCCGCTTTTGATGACACGCCACCCACACAAGTGGAGGGAGGTACGGACCAAGGAGGCCAAACGGATAGGGCCATTTATCGAAGACCACCCATTTCTTGGCGTCCACTATAACGATGGCATGAAAGAGCAAACCCCACCGCCTTATACTCCTTTACTTGACGTCACCACGACCGCAGAGGTCGAACGTGTCCCGCCCAACTAACCATCGGCCAACATGACAGTCTAAACGCGGCTTTATTCGGCCCTAAAGTCAACCACTGCGACAGGTCGAGTCGAAGTTTTCAACTTGTCACGAGTGAACCAACTAGGAAACCTTTTTAGGACCTTTAGAAGCCGCAAACGTAAGGGTGGATTCGTCCAAGCGGCTTTTCGCTCCGTTCTCACTGCAGTGGGGGTAAGTTCTTCAGTTACCCGTCTCTTCGAAGCCTTCTACAAAAATGTCGACGACACGCGACAACCTGCATGGCAATTCAGAGCTCCTACTCCTCAGCTCCTCCCCTTTTACAATTCTTAACTCTTCGGAGATTCCATAAGCAAGTTCAAACAGGGGGTACGAGTGTAATAGTGGAGTCAGCGTGTCTATTATGGCGTTCATTTAACGGTTTCCCCCACCACGATCACCTGATATGTCGGGCTGCGGGTGTCAGCCAGGCCCCGATGGCGGGTGAAGTCATGGCCGGGTAGCACTAAGCAGGGCCACCGGTCAGGTGGGGACGGAGCTAGGAGCCCGACTTCAGCTTATCAGGTAAATCGAATCCCTTTGGAAGGATTGCCCTCACCTTTTAACTGGGCCTTCAGGGTCAACCGTCGGTACTATTCACGGCAAGTGGTAAGAGTATCTAGTCCCCCCAAGTCCGTTGGGGACCGTGCGCACGGTCGTAAGTGCGCCGTGGCATTTGGCTGCACCGTGTGATCCTTATTCACACGTTATTATAAATTTAACATAAAAGCCTAGGACTTGCTCTCTGGCGGCGGTCCTCGCGCAGATGGACGTCCTTCCTGTCGGTAACGTGCGCGTTGCGGCTGCGTTTTGGACAGGGAATCATGGGCCACCCGCAAATTCAATCCTTGTGACCCTGGAGGGAACTGCTTCCTCTCCTCTTTTACGACGGGGTGTTACGGAACGTCGGCGTCTTTAAAACGCCGCCACTGTGTGCTCAGGCGCCGCAAGTGCCTGTTGCGGGCTACGGAGTACTGCGGCTTTTACTATGAGTACTTCATCTGCTCACCGAATAATTCGAAAATTTTTGCATACACCCATTGAATGTTCACGTAAAACAAAACTTGCGAAGTAGTCAAATATATCTAGTTTTTCTTTTATACTTTGCAATTAAGAATGACTTTACTACGTCTTATTTCAGTTGTAAAGTGTCGAGAAAGTGATGACTCGAACCACACCCCAACAAGTTGAAAAATTTTCTACAAACTTACCCACTTATATGTGTCACTATCTCAATCTTCCGGTGATTGCAAATATTATTCTAGGTAAATCATCATACTAGAGATAGTCTGTCCGAGAAGTGAAGTAGAGTAGGTTCGAGAGGAGAGTTCTAGTATGTGCAAACTCTTTTAGGTGAAATTACAGGTAATGAGGTATATACACTCGGGACCACTGCCGGGCATGATGTGACTGCCGTCCACTTTTGTCTTTTAGGTATTGACCGTACAAACCAGAAACTAAACAATAAAGGATACTCAGAGCTTGAGAACCCAACGTACGTTCTGTCCTAGGTATCGGATAAGTAGACAACAGGGGTCTTAGAGATTGGTCGTATTGTGGTCTATGGGGCCGTAGTCGTCGTGCTGTATGTTCTCCATCTGTCAGCGTCATATCTGATGAGGAACACTTGATAGTGGTGTTTACTAATTCATTGACATAATGTAAATATAGTGATAACAGTTAACCTGAAACCGGGCGCTGTAATATCTATATACAATGACATCGATAGAAAAGTATGAAGATGACCAGAAGGGACCGCGGTGGAAGGGAGGCTCACGACCCACGAGAAGGCCAAACATAAAAGCGACAGCTGGTGCAGGCATTCAAGGGTCGAAACGTCAAATCGCATCAACATACGAGTAGTCCAGGCTATATGTTACATAACTTATAACGGGCTAGGTAGTCCAACTAGACATAGAGGCAATTATATATCATAGAGCGCATGCTTATAACACATCACATTATAAATGACATTGACGTCAACGAACAGCGAAGTGGACCGTACGTGGAGCGAGGGCACTCCAACACCACCCGAAGAAACACAGTTTATTGAAATCAAGACGCATCTAGCAATTTCCACACACTCCTTATATCGAGCCCTGCTCACTAAACATCTTTATACGTATTTCTTTTCTATTTATAACAACACTCAAAGACAAAGTAATACCCTACAACTCTCTACCATAGGTATCTAAATCCCACGTAGGGTGTGGATCGTATCGCGAAGAGACCAACGGCGTGGTCTGCTGTCAAACGCAATGTAACAAAGGTAAAAAGTCTCTTCGCAAGCCAAACGTGAAGTGGTGTCGCGTTTGGTCTTGCCTTGAATGGTTGAAATGGTGTGTTTTGCAGATAGCACATGCCTTTAGCGACAAGTTGGTAATCCATTCTCTACATTCCCCATTTTTGCGTTTTAGGGCCGGTGAATCAGATGGCCTCGGAGCTCTCGAGCAAACTTCAGACGGGCCTGGACATGTACTGGCTTAAGCAGGGGGACACGTCTGGCACTGCAGGATTTGAGTCCCTGGCGGCGTAGTGTGTTACTGATGGTAGCCTTTGTTACTTTGGTCCCAGCTCTCTGCAGGTCATTGACTAGGTCCCCCCGTGTGGTTCTGGGATTTGTGCTCACCGTTCTTGTGATCATTGTGGCCCCACGGGATGAGATCTTCCGTGGAACCCCAGATCGAGGGAGATTATCAGTGGTCTTGTATGTCTTTCATTTTCTAATAATTGCTCCCACAGTTGATTTCTTAACATCAAGCTGCTTACCTATTGCACATTCAGTCTTCCCAGCCTGGTGCAGGTCTACAATTTTGTTTCTGGTGTCCTTTGACAGCTCTTTGGTCTAGGCCATAGTGGAGTTTGGAGTGTGACTGTTTGAGGTTGTGGACAGGTGTCTTTTATACTGATAACGAGTTCAAACAGGTGCCATTAATACAGTTAACAAGTGGAGGACAAAGGAGGCTCTTAAAGAAGAAGTTACAGGTCTGTGAGAGAGCCAGAAATCTTGTTTGTTTTTAGGTGACCAAATACTTATTTTACCAAGGAATTTACCAATTCATTCATTAAAAATCCTACAATTTGATTTCCTGGATTCTTTCTCTCCCATTCTTTCTCTCATAGTTGAGGTGTACCTAGGAGGAAAATTACAGGCCTCTCTAATTTTTTTAAGTTGGAGAACTTGCACAATTGGTGGCTGACTAAATACTTTTTTGCCCCACTGTATATAAAGAAACATATACAAGCGAAAAGGCCTTTCCAATGAAATAATATTTTTATTAAAACATACAGACAAAAATAAAAGTAGCATACATAAAATGTAATGGCATATAACACTAGCCAGGTAGGAACATCAGATCAGAATTTAAAAGGATAAACAGTTTGACAAATATAGTCAAAATATATTCTACAAGAAATGCTGTACGGACATTCCCTGAGGCTAATGGTGCAGGATATGTATGTCAGGTATTTTATCTATATCCTCAAAAAAGGGTTAGGCTTCAAAGGTTTTTGGGACAGTACTTTTTCTCAAACTGAGCTACGTCAAACTTCCGCTGGCAGCCTTTGTAGTTCATGTAGCGGACCTTTCCGAAAACCTTTCTCTCTCCCCAGGCTCGGTCGTGGATGCCACCAATAGACCACATACAACCTACAGGAGGGACACGAGGGGCAGAGTGAATAAATGTGTGAGATTTTCTAAATCAGTAACATTAACACTTTAATCCATGTCCTCACCGACAAAGCCATTGGGGTCCTGGCCATCCAGACTGTAGCGGTCGTTTAGGTAGAGCGCGATGGAGAGCGCGCTCCTCTGGTGAAGCCGTCCACCCGCAGAATCTTTTTGGCCCAGTACATCCTCAGGAAGCCATGCATCTTCCCCTCAGTGATCATCTGGTACTAATGGAGATCATTTGAAATAAACAGCAGTAAGAAAACATATCTTAACACAGACTGGTGATCAAACACTGGAATAAGAAGGTACCTGAGATGCATTCCAGAGTTTGTCATGTGTCTTTGCTTTCTCCAGCTGCTCCCGTGTGTAGAGATACTCCCTCTTGTCTTTGGCATGAGCCTTTAAACTCTTCTGAGCCCAGTCATGCGTACCTGAGGAACACCATTTATAAAATGTAAAGAGAACGAGCGTCATAATAATAATAACTTGAATTGATATAGTGTCTTTCATAACCTCAAGGTCGCTTTACCAAGAAACATATAAAGACAAGACATAAAACATAAACATGGTTTGAATAATTCCTTTACAAGCTTTCCATATTGCCAATTAAATTGCGGTGCGCTCCCAGTTCGGACAAGCAGACAGGAGTGCCAGAATAAAGCAGAGCAATATACTTCTGTCGACAGGGGGAGCAGCAAAAAGCATTTTAGACATGTAAAAGAAGCCTACCCAAAAACAAAGGTTGGTGGACATTTCTATATTGTTTATTTTGAATGTATTATTGTGTGCCTATGCAAAGTTTGGATTCATAAAGTCACACAATAACAAAAACAAACAGGTCAGCATTAGACCTGCAACCCCGGTGTTCTGCCAGTTAAAATAAAAATAATTCTGAGTAGAGCCTGGTGGCTTTGACAAGAGCATGGATAGATATAACGACTTCAGTTCCACATCAGAAACAGACTGCATAGTTGTCTCTCAATGTAAATGTGTGAAAATACTCTAAATATAGCAGAAGCAAACAGTTATTAGGTGGCTAAAATATATGTTGCTGTTGCCCCCGTCCGCAGCAGTCAATTGCTTGACTCCCATTGGGTAACTCCTGTTTGGTTTCCTAAATTAGAGTTGTGCAAACAAACATTTACTGACACAATGACTAAGGGTTAGAGCCTCACACAACTAGACTTCAAATCATCTGAAACTGAATGATGTCAGCAATAGGACGTACAGGATGAAACTTAATGAGATCTAAACTAACCCTCTACGCTGTCGTATTTTTCGTTGTAGAAGCAGAAGTTGTCCGTCAGCTCCCTGCGCACAACCAACTCCTCGATGAAGGTAGCGACAGATGGACCTGCACATTTTCCACTGCTCTGAACCTGCAGCGCCACACGCTGGGCTGAAAGGTGACCTGATGGTCGGGAAAAAAAGATGGTGGACGAGGATAGGAAAGAGTGATGGACAGAATGAGGAGGCAACGTTAAAAAGGGTCTGAATTGGTATGAGTGACATTTAAAGCTAACCTATTTTGTTATGTGTTATGGTTTTTCACTTTCAGCTCAATATATGTTGTTGATGATCTCTGCAAAAGTGGGAATAATCTCGGTTTACATTAAAGTGGACCTATCATGTTATATTTGAATAATATAGTGTAGGACCTACCTATATAAGGCATATTTATACTTTTTATTTTTCAAAATACCAAACAGATCATGCATTTTAGCCATTCCTCATTTCGCTCAATTTAACCCTGTCTTTGCATGGGCTGATTCTGTGAGAACAGCACCATCTACAGGCCTGGCATATGTACTACAGCGTCTCCAGTGCTTTCGAACGGCAATGTCCGTGGCTGTCACCTCCTGATTGGTGGAGTTGGCCCAATAGCCGTAGCGCCACTTCTGTGACGTCANTATCCTGAAATTTCTGGGATTGGTGACACCAACTGTTGTCAAAGAAATAAGTTTCTAGTTCGAGTTTCCATCGAAAGACTAGAAAGTTATTCTGGGGGGGGGGGGGGGAGATCATAACTTTCAAGAAATACTAGTTGGTACACAGTCGGTACGTCGTGAAGAGATACTTCGGATTGGAGCGCTGAGTTGGCCTCCGCAAAGAGAAGGACACACTGACACAGACGAGATACGACCACAAAGAAGAACTCACCCGATCGACTCGTACCTAACTAGGCTGGTGTTCTAAGAGTTAGCAAATGTCGAGTATTTGTGGAGGTACGAAACATTGTAAAGTTTATTTTTGGGAAGGAGTTCTTATGTCGCAAATAGTTTGCCTGTCTTCGGGACTATAACATACCAGGTATATTAACCCACAAAACTGTCTTCGGTAGTATTGTACATAACACATCCTCGAAAAACTAATTATTGTCAGGAGTTACAGGGGGGGTCCCCCCCCCCCCCCCGTCATTGTACTCACGAAGTTCGACCAGCAAAAGTGCGTTAATAATAGTCTCGAGTCCTAGACGCTGAATACTGAAAGATTGAGATCTTCATTGGAACTTTCTTACATCTATGACTCCTTTCGCAGGGCTTTGCAGATGATCTTAACTACATGTGTGATTCGATGACTATCTTATGAGGCACTAGAAGCCGAACTATAATCCACAACCACAAAATCATTTTATAAGGATCATATATAATTTGAATCGAGTAATCTCTCTGGCTCTGTCGACGCTACTTTCTCGTGGTCGTAGGTGAGTTTATTATCCACAAAAAACGTATAAGAAAAAGAAAAATTTCAAGTTATGTCAAATACGAATGTAATCCTATCCATACTGCAAGGACCCATCTATATCTTATTAGTGTTTACAACATTATTTATTTGTATGAACAGATATAAAAGAGGATATTGATGAGGCAGATTGGAACCATGCTTGCCTAAAAGCACAAAGTCAGACCATACATGCTATAGGTTCAAATGACTTCAATATAAATGGTTCATGAGAATGTACATAAATCCTGTGAAACGTCATCATATGCCTGCTAATATTTCACATGATGCATTAAGTGTGTCACAAGTTAGACACATCTATTATTGTTTGTTTGGTTTGGCTCATCTAAACTCTCCTGTCATTTCAGATCTCGCCTTCCTCCAGGCCCTTGTAATCAGCTCACTTCCCTCACCTGGTCTTCCCAGCCCTTTCCCTCACCTGTTACTCATTCCCTCATCACTCCGCAGTATTTATACCACCTCACTATCACTTGTCCTTTGCCAGGTTGTCTTGTCGTTTCCGCCAAGCTCTCCAGTGAGTGTTATTCTCTACCCTAGATTTTTGTCCTGCCCGGTTTTTGACCCCTGCCTGCCTGTATACGGATCTCAAGTTCCTGCCTGCTCCTTGTCTGGTTTTGGTTGCCTGTCTGACGGATTTCCTGGTTTTGACCTGCCTGTCCCTGACCTGAATAAACTGAACATTGCAAAACATTGGTTGTATCTGAGTCGTGCTATTGGGTTCTGATCTGTACCTGTGATTGTGACACCAAACTGTGTCCCATACTGACTTTGGTAAGTTAGTCTGTTTCAAGTGTTTTGTCAGTTTATTTAAAATAACTATGTTAGCTAGCGGATCTGCAATAAAATCACATCACATCGTAAAAGTAAACCAATCCAAAATTAATTTTAGGTTCATTTCCAGTGATGGTGACATGCTTCACCTTTTTGTAATTGCAGCGCTTTTAATAAATTCTGTGCATGTTTCTTCAAGTTGGTAAATGTTTTCTAAATGCTTGTTATGTTGGTGAAGAAGTTTCTTCATTTGCATGTGTTTTGGCACATTTGTGTTATTATATTTGCATTATTGTGAAGGAAATGTTTTGGGCCGATTGCACCTGTCGGCCACCGTATGACTACCCAACATTTTTTATTCATACCATGTTAAAGATTTGTGCACACATAAGAGATAGGTTTTCAAGATTTGTAATACTCATATTTAGGGTTCCATCATCGCAGAACACATGCTATTTCCACATGGGTAGATAATGGCTTTATGGTTGTAAACAAACCTTGTGAGAGAAGCTGCGGACAAAAAGATAGAGAGATCCAACAAGCACACACACTATTGAACGCATTAACTCTCAAATGCTTACAATAATCATCCATTAAAAATAATCAATTTTATAAATGGAAATTCTGAAGTACAAGTCATTCTTCCAGCACTAAATTAATATTAATTCGGGAAATACCATTGAAATCAAGATCTCTTTTGCAAGACCGACCTGAGTACAAAAATAAAAGCTACTAAAGCTTACATTTTCTCAGAGGAATGAGGGTTTGATTTATCCCAGTAATAAGGTGCATTGTAGTGGAAAACGTTTTTCTGGAATAATGTTTATGCCCTCTTTAACCTTTTCATATAACTCACAATGGTGAGCGTTCCTTTTGGTTTATTACAGAACAAATCATTTTGTGTGTGTACAGTATGTGTGTTTGATCGCACAGTCCAAAAGACATGCCAGGAAGGTTAATTCGAAAATTCAACATAGGGTATACATGCAATTACCCATTCAATAGGGCATGCTACCACCTCGTAATGGAGGATGGAGAATGAACGGATTGGCAATTGTTATAGAAACAAAGCCTGAATGGGATACTAATGACCGCAGCATGAAAACAGATTCTAGGGCAACCTTGGCCTTCGCTGTGAGGAATGAATTTTCCCATAAAGAACTTTGGCCAGTGAATGATAATGTGAATATTGCCATTTTCTCTCCCTCCTTTCTGCAAATCGCTTGTTAAAAAAAGTGTTGAAATGTGTTAAGGTGGAGCCACGGGATTTTTGACTGGGTACATGGTGCAACAAGCGAACATCAGTGTGAAAAAATTGTAATTTTGATATTGTAAATATTGGTGGATAAAAGAAGAAATGGATCAACAGCACATTGATTAAACCAAGGCACTGCATTACTGTTTTCATTTGTTTTACCAGTCTTGATGGGCGAGATTAGCACTTAATTATATAAGCATGCTTTTTTATTAAGGATAGGTAAAGCCCAGGACAGAGGAGTTCTGCTGTGATTGTATTCTGCTTCTTGTGCTGAAATGACTAATAAAATCTGCAAAGTCAAGTGTCACATAATGTAATATGCCAATGTTCAGTGTTTTTACCCACCTATAGTGGCAAGGCTCTAAGGCCACCCCAAGTCAAGAGACATATTTTAACAGCTTTCAGATATATTTGCTATGTATTTTGTACTAATGGTCATGCTCCCAAGAGGTTAAATCCTTTTTCTTGTTTTAAGCATAATATGCCCACAACTAGATGGATTGCTATTATATTTGGTATACCTTTTTCATTCTTTTAATTTTCTTTTACCAGCATTGTAAGCTGAAGTTTTTATTATTTTCAATGCATTTATTTATTAAGTAATACCTGCAAACTAATGACATCTTTCAACTAGCTTTGTAGGCCTACTTATTAGCATGCTAACATGCAAAACTATTTTTACTAAACATGGTAAACACATGTGACATCCCCAATGTAGGCCAAATCTTCAAGTTTGGCCTTTTTGCCAATGCCATTTTGTGGTACCAAAAGTGAAAGCACCAGCTACCCTCAGCGGTAGAATAATCCGTGCCTGGAAAAAGTTCTGTAGTTGATTATCATTCGCAAAAAGAGAGAAAACCTGAGAACCATTTACAAAAGACATTTGTCACACTTAGGTATAGATATTCCCAGGACTACAAAACGGTACCGGAGGACCCGTAAGGAGGCACAACTTGTGAAAGGTAAGGAAGGGTTTTCCCTTCATATTGGACGAACGGGATGAACTGCCAATTTAAGACGTATTTCCTTTGGTGGTTTTTGTCTCACATTACCGTATTCAACGAATTATAGCAGAGTATACTACAAAATGTTAAAAAAAAATGTTTTAGATGTATAGATTCACTTTGTATATACTGCTATTATTCCTATTTTGATAGCAGTAGGGCAATATGTAAATTGTGTTATAAAACATATCAAATCGACTCTAAAAAAGCTGAAACATATATAAACCAAACCTAGCTTTTTGCTGAGATGTCAAATTAAAATGCCCACAATCAATGTGTGTATAAATGTCTGTGTAACAGCTGTGTGATTTTATCAACTTACAGACTCTGACTCCAGTGATGAAGCCTCAAATGAAGATCGAATGGTGGGTGAGAGTCTAATGTATTACAGAGAAAAAAGGTTGTGTTAGATTCATTAAAATCATATTATCAGGATAGTTATTGTGTAGCCTTTTGCTTTCTCTCAGGCTGATCACCATTCTGGCGGGACATCAGATGACAGAGGGGAGGATCCACATCATGAAATGGTATAGTTTTTTGTAGTGACTGTTCCACAGACTTAAGAAATTAGACTCACTGGTGGACTTAACTATGTCTATAGAGGTTTCTCAATGCTCAAATTTCCCCTCCTCGACTCCTCGGTCCTCCGGTAGTGACCCGGAAATGAATTTCAGCGCGCCATTTTGAAGGACATCTCATTTCTCTAAATGCACTTCGAGGACCGAGCATCGAGCATCGAGGAGGCTCTCTGGAGGAGCTCTAACCGAGGAGACACTGATGCATCCTCCACTGCTCCTCCACGGATGCATTTCCGGGAACGGTGGAGGCGTGACGCACGGCCGGACTTATCTCAGCCAATGACAGCTCTGCATGCATCCCTTGGATATTATTTTAGTAACTGTCTGCTTTCATCGCAACGCAATGTTTACAGTGAGAACAGCTGTGAGGTCCGTGCAGAAAGCAGAGCAGTGTGTAAAATATATATCACTCAGTATAACAGGCCTACATTAATTTCTGTATTTGTATGCTGTAGTTTAGTAGATATCTACAAACAAAGAGTCGATATTTCTCTAAGACCATTTAGTGCTTCACATAATAAAATACACAACGGCTGTAGCCTGATTATGCTTTAGGAGCAGTAGGTGTGTGTGGTACAGTGTGTAGGTGTGTGTGTGGTACAGTGTGTAGGTGTGTGTGTTGTACAGTGCGTAGATGCGGCAGACAAGATAGGTCTCAGTTGGTTTGGTGTCCTATGCTTACTTTTAATACTTGTAAATACAACTTTTGGCCCGTAATTTCAATTCCCCATTTCAGCGACCAGAGAGAGGGGGGGATATATCCAGTCTCTGATTGTGTTACGTTATTATGAGAGTGCTCTCATACTTGTTTGATTCTGAAATTGTATATATTTATATAAATATATGTGTGTGTGTGTATATGTCCGCATAGTCCTGTTATTGTCTCATTATACCTTATTGTCAATGCATTAAAAGTCAATATATGTAAGTTGTCATGAACACATCTGTCCATCAGAGTGCTGCTGTGCCTCCTGTCATCATTAATGGACGTCTCTTTAAAATGACCGCTCAGAGGAGAGGAGTTCTCATTTCTCTAACCGCCTGCTGCTTCCACTCCTCTCTCCTCGGTTCCCCTCCTCAGTCCTCCGCTCGCATCTCCTGTGGGCGGCACCAAGTCTCGAGGAGAGGAGTCGAGGATAGGAGTCGAGGAGGGGGAAATTTGAGTATTGAGAAACCTCTTATGACTCTGCTACTTGGTCACTGATATTTTTTTAATGCATTGCCACTGTTGTGGATTCTACTGTCACTGCCACAATGTCACATGGTCATCGTTCGTCCGTCATGTACTGTCTTTGTATCCTTCTTGAATGCTCTTTTTATGATGCCTGCCTCAGGAATAGCCCCTGTTTTTTTTATTGAATTAATTAGATTTCTACTTTTCTGTCTCTCAGAGTGACGATGAAGTAGAGATGGCTGCAGACGACGAAGGAACAGATCAACAACATGAAATGGTACAACATAAACATGCAGGGATTGTTTTACTTATTTAAAAAAAAAATTATTCTGTTAAAATCCATGACCTTTGCTACATTACAGGTAGCAGTAAGAGACAACAGAGTTTTCTATGATGATAAGAATGCAGATTTATCCGACATAAAAGACGTTGGGTTACAAATATTTAACAAAATGTATCAGGAGTTATTTTATAACTTATAGTTAACATTATTTTCACTGTATGCACATACTTTCACCCGCACTGCTACCTTCCCATTTAAATATATTCTGTTGCTGCATGCTATAACACCTGCATTCCCTATGGGCATCAATAACGATCCATCTTATCTTATAGCCTTTTGCTGTCTCTCAGGCTGGCCACCTGTCTGGAGGGTCATCAGAGGACGGAGGGGAAGATCCAAACCATGAAATTGTATAATTTGGGCAGTTCCACTTTGTTCCAGAAAAACAAACTGGTGTTTGGCTTAACTATGAAGTTGAGGAAACCCAGTATGGTGTATGGCAACACATGGTGTTCGGAATGGTACCATGCATGGGTACAGGAGGGCTATGATATCATGTACCGGCGCCAATGGAGTCTATTTGACCATGATGGTATCTCATAAGTTTACCAATGTCTGTAATGGGTACCATACATAAGTACTTTAGTGAGTTTCAGGGTAAAATACGTAAAGAAAAAGAAAAAATACACTTACGTCAAAGAATATGGAAACAAATCATAAAAAGTAACGACCAAAATCACCAAAGGGAAATCATATGTATATAAAAGTACAAGAAAAAGTTGTGCTAGAAGTGTGGTTTTATCCGGTTTCTTAATGGTGAATCTCATTTCTAAACGTTACACCGCAACAATGAGTGTATAAATCTTTATATAGGCTATGTCAAAATGGGTGTCGAACTGTGTTTTGGCTGTACGTAATCGTCTTAATGTCAATTACTAGTTTGGCACTCAATATTTTTTTGTTATTTCGTATTTCTTTTTGGTAAATTTAGTAGATTATACCATGTATGTCAAACACGATCGAGGAGTTGTAAGATGAACAGAGTTTGTGTCCGTAAAAGTAGTGTATTCGAATGGGGGTAAAGTTACGTATTATGGAAATCGATGATACAGGAGTGTACAGTTATGCGTGTTAAGGAACTTCTGAAATGAAAATGTTCTTTAAAAACCGTTACAAATCAATACTAGAGACGTAGTATCTATCGACCGACATACACAGGACGACGTTACCGAACATCTTTTGTTCTTCAAGGAGAACGTTGTTGTCAAACGGTGGAGAAAGTGTCAACGTCCCAAACCATGTTGTTGGTTCCTGAGATGGTATGGGTTTCGTTAAACTCCCAAAGATAATGACTTAATAAAGAAAACTTTACGTATGACATCAGAGACCACCACTGTTTTACAAAATTCGGTACGAATTAAGCAATGCGTAATACTACACCCATGGAACACCCACATGGTGACAAACGTCACGTCGGTTAAGGAGGTAAATTGTCAGACACTACTCCGGTGTAGGATTTCATCTGATTACAAGAGAATACGTCACAAACGACTGAAGCATTGTTCACAATGTGACGAAAGTCCCTTTTATTTTTTAGAACCGTAAGAACGAACTTAGGACCTCATTTCGTAAATGAATAGTAAAAAGAATGTTTGAAAGACTATACTTTTTATTAGTTCGTTTAAAAATATCAAGAGTTACACTAGAACTACTACATTAAGTATTTGTCAACCCGAGAACTAAATCACAGTACAACAATTGTTAATGCACGAGACACCGCCGATTTCAATCTTGCATATGTCGATATGAGGTAACACAGGATTTATCGTGAATATACAATGGAGGCTCCTTTACGATTTGAGACAAACCGATTAGTCTCCTGACTCTCCTCTATGTAAAAACGGTTATATTATTACTTTTGGTTAATGTGGGTAATGTAGAAGCGGACGTGAAAGTAGACTTCACAAAACACGGAGCCAGTCTGCAAGCTTATCTTCTC